CTCTCTCTCTCTCTCTCTCTCTCTCTCTCTCTCTCTCTCTCTCTCTCTCTCTCTCTGTGTGGCTTGCTTACTTGCTCGCTCCTTTCTTGCTCTTCCTCCAATACTACTGAAATGTAAACAAAATTTATTAAAATTGAGTAAACTTTTTACTGTATATAATTAAAACAAAATCACAATAATAATAACATATTATGTAAGTATTGTGAATTAAATATTATAGTATAAAATTGATATTAAATCAATTCATTACAAGAATAACATGCTTGGAAATAATTTTTTTAATAAATATATTTTTAAGGAATAAAAATTTTGAAAATAATAAGATAGTTTTTTATGCAAAATCACAAAAAGTGTTCACCTTAATAACATTTACATTTCTTTTTTAATGCAGATAATTGCAATATAAAAAGACAATATAACTTCTATTTATAATTGTTAATAAAAAAAATTCAAATGAAATAGACATATATGTGTTTTTTTCATTATTTTACATATTATTATTCATGTATTAATAAAGTTAAATATATTATATCTTTAGATAGAAGATTTAAGGAAATTAAAACTTCTTAATAAGTATAAGTAATTAAAAAATGAAAAATTGAATCTTTTGCCTTTTTTGCCTGTTTTTTTAAACAAAATTTTTTTATTATGTTTAAAATATATTGCAATTAATGCATTATTTATTATATATTTAATATCTAAAAATTTTCATTATATGAAAATTTATATTTATTTAAATTCATTATAATAATTTTTCTAAAAAATAGATAAAAAAAAAGTATTAGCATTTCAAATAAAATATTTTAAATGAAAAAAAATATATACATTCCTATAATATATATTTTCTTTCATGATACAAAGAAAATTGAGTTTTTCATATATGATATATTTTCAATTTAAAATATTTTAAAGTAAAAATTTTGTATAATTTTAGAATGTGATTATTTTTATTTTATTTATCATAAAAAGGTTATTTTAATAAAATATAGAAAAAGTTGCAATAAGTCAAAGATTTCAAAACAAAACATTTTTAAGATTTTATATTTCACAAAAGATATATAATTAAATGAAATTTTTATAACTTATATACGTGATCTTATAATTTAAAATCTTTAATTTAAAATCTTCTCTGATTTATATATGAAAGATTAAACGTATTTTATATAAATATTAATATACCTGTCTGTATTTTATTATTTTTTTTATTAGCATTTTAATATTTAATTATTATATTTTCAATTTTCAATTTATATATAATATCATATATTCAATGATCCTGGATATATTAATTTTATTCATTTTTTGTATATCTTTTGTATAATTTTTAAGTTAAATTATTTTGCATTTAATTTTGGAAGGCTGATAATGTTATATTATGTTTAAGACTGTGTTTGCTATTAAGAATCATGTACAGTAAATACTATTTGTAATATTCGCGTTAAAATATGTACATAACGTACATCATTACATATCAAATATATAGATATATGTAATGAGATGATTACTATAATAATGAAACTTGTTATACAAAAAAAATTTTAATGTTATAATACTCATTTTTTTTGCATTCCTGTTTAATAATTAATAATAAATTTAAATTATAAGATAATTTAATATAATAAGTGTAAATTTATATATATCTAAAAAAATATTTAACATATCATTAAAAAACAAAAAGAAATACATGTCTCTTGCCTTTATTCATACGTTGTATTATTTAATATTGTAATAAGTTTATAAAATTGTAATAAGAATATTTGTATCTAAAAATATAAAAATTTTAATTTTACATTTTTTAAAGTATATGTTATTGTTATAAGTAATTATTTAAAATTTTTATTTATATATGAATATAATGAATGTATTAATTAATGAACAAAATATACATCCTACACATAAATACTATTCATTTTGTGCATTGTATGTGCACGTGTGCGCGCGTGTGTGATACGTATTTTTTTTTCTTTCATTCCGCATAATATATATACATATATGATATATTTCATTTTTATAGATTGCTATATTTTATAAAGAAAAATATATGCATAAAATAGAAC